AAATCGGGATTGAAAGAGAAATATAGAAAACTTTAAACTAGGAAGTTATTTGAAGTTATTGGGCTTAGAGAGATTGGAGATCTTGCAGAGGGGAGGGAGGGGGGAAGGGGGGAAATGGTGGGTTGGGAGGGAAGGGAAAGAAAAGAGGTAAATAGAAGGGACAGAGTAGAAATGTATTGATATTTATACGTATTGTGTTTCTTCTTATGGAATTTTTGTAATAATGTGAAAAATTAATAAATATTTAAATTTAAAAAAAAACAAAAAAAAAACAAACAACATTTGTATCTGGTTCCTCTTATACAGTTGTGTTCAAAATAATAGCAATCAGACATCACTAACCTGATCACTATTTTTGGTAGAATTTATATTTCTACATGGCAAATAATTTACTAGCAGGTGTAGTAGAGTAATAGAAATCCAACAGACCCAACCAGTCATGACATGCATGCTACTGATTCTGTGTAATTGAATCACTAATTGAAAGGGGCATGTTCAAAATAATAGCAGTGTGGAGTTCTATTAGTGAGGTCATTCATTCTTTGAAAAACAGGTGGCAATTATTGCCCTTATTTAAGGAAGGAGGGCAGCAAATGTTGTACATGCTGGTTACAGTGAAATTCTGAGAAAAATGGGTAGTTCCAGACATTGTTCAGAAGAACAGCGTACCTTGATTAAAAAGTTGATTGGAGACGGGAAAACATATAAAGAAGTGCAGAAAATGATAGGCTGCTCAGCTAAATGATAAATGATTGCAAATGCTTTAAAATGGCAACCAAAACCTGAAAGACGTGGAAGAAAGCGAAAAACTACCATTCGAATGGATAGAAGAATAGCCAAAATGGCAAGGACTCAGCCAACAATCAGCTCCAGGAAGATCAAAGAAGGTCTAAAGTTACCTGTGAGTACTGTTACAATTAGAACACACCTATGTGAAGCCAAGCTATCTGCAAGAAGCCCCCGTAAAGTCCCACTGTTGAAAAAAGACATGTGCTGAAGAGGTTACAATTTGCCAAAGAGCACATTGACTGACCTAAAGAGAAATGGTGCAACATTTTGTGGACTGATGAAAGTAAGATTGTTCTTTTTGGGTCTAGTGGCCGGAGACAGTTTGTAGACGACCCCCAAACACTGAATTCAAGCCAGAGTACACTGTGAAGACAGTGAAGCATGGTTGCGCAAGCATCATGATATGGGGATGTTTCTCATACCATGGTGTTGGACCTATTTATCACATACCAGGGATCATGGAGCAGTTTGAATACATCAGAATACTTGAAGAGGTCATGCTGCCTTATGCTGAAGAGGAAATGCCCTTGAAATGGGTGTTCCAACAAGAAAACGACCCCAAACACACCAGTAAACATGCAACATCTTGGTTCCAGACCAACAAGATTGATGTTATGGAGTGGCCAGCCCAATCCCCGGATCTCAATCCAATAGAAAACTTTTTGGGGTGACATCAAAAATGCAGTTTCTGAGGCAAAACCAAGAAATAGAGAAGAACTGTGGAATGTAGTCCAATCATCCTGGGCTGGAATACCTGTTCACAGGTGCCAGAAGTTGGTTGACTCCATGCAACACAGATGTACAGCAGTTTCTCAGAAACAGTGCTTATACAACTAAATATTAATTAAGTGATTCAAAGGAAAGCAAAATCCTCAAACATTTTTCAGTTTATATAGTGAATGTTTGAGTTTGTAAAAAAGAATACAAACACTGCTATTTTTTTGAACAGTCTAATATTCACTTTTCTTCAATTTTTTTAGCGCAACAACACAAATTTGATATATTTTTCTTCGTGTTTTGATTTTGAATAGAATGTGTAGTGTTCCCAATGCATTTGTGTGTATGGAAATAAAATCTATTAGAAGGATGTTGAGCTTTATTCACTTTTTTCAACACACTATTATTTTGAACACAACTGTACATATAGGGATAAATAGAGAAGGTAAGGCAGCATTTTGAGTATTAGTATTATGGGGGTCCACTAGGTAGGTACAGAAAGGGGGAACAGATGCCTTAAAAATTGGTACTGTAGGAACCATAGCAGGGCAGAAGGGAGAGTTGGGATAGGGTGGAAGAAGGTTGGGTAGGGGTGGGAGGTGATGGAAAGTGTAGGAAGGTATATAAGGGGGGGAGGGAAGAAAAAAACCATTATAACACTTTAAGCCAGTCATTAAATATCACATTTACTCCATAAGGTAATATCTATCAAGTTTAGATTGTACAGTTCGGGTTAAGTGACCATAGAGACCATGCTTTATAAAATTTGGTGTTGGAGAGTTACAGGAGAGAGAATCTTCTCTCCATATCATTTTGGGTGTTTATATTGAGTATTACTTTAGTTAAAGAGGGGGAGTCTAGAGATTTCCATAGTCTGGCAATGTTATTTTTTTGCTGCGTATAGGATATGGACAATAATGGTACATAATTCGGGGGGGGGGGGGGGGAATTTATCAAGCCCAATATGAAATAGAGCTTGAGATTAGGGTTAGGTGTAACCTTGTTTTTTTTGTTAATTCTGAGACTAATTGATTTGCACAATCAGATTATATGAAAATGGGTACCTTATTCTCCACATTGTCTCCAGCATTGTGGGGAGCAGTTTGGATTTTTTGGGTAGTCGGTCAGGGGTTAGGAACCAATGGTATAAGAGTTAAGGTACGATTCCCAGTGTGATGCGCAGTGATATGCTTTATAGGTTATTTGGAAGGCTCTGTTCCACATATGATCAGTAATTGTTTCGGATAGTAGCATTTCCCAATTGGTCAGTGATGTTGTCCTTAGTGTAAATTTCACTGCAGTAATGAGGGAGTAGAACAGGGATATGCCTTTACCTGGATAGTTATTTTTAGTCAAGAATTGAAACGCTTGGATGGGAATTGTAGTGGAGTGCAGAATTTTAGTGTTCTTAAGGCAATTACCAATTCTGTGATAGGTAAAGCTTTCTTGCTGTGGAAGTGTGAATTTATTTTGAAGGTAGTGAAATGAAGCCAGTTCTTGGTTGATGTATAGGTCTAATAGGGATACGATACCTGCAGATTCCCATTTGGAGAGGTTTATATGTGGCATGAAGGTGTGTAGGCCTTTGAGGGGGAGTTGAGATCTTCACTAAATTTGTGAAAGAATGAGTTTTCATGCATGACCATGCTTCTAGGGATGCCATGATGCAAAGGTGTTTAAAGGTGATTTGTGTATGGCTAGATGGGTATAGAGTGAGGTGTGCTTGAGGAGTTGTGGGATGGAATCTTTGAACTTTCATATTGGTCCACAATTTTTCTTTAGATGGGTGTCACCAATAGTATAGTTGGTCGAGTAATGAGACTATGTAGAAGGTGTGTAAGTGTGGTAGGCTTGTTCCTCCTTTATGGTGTAGTCGAATTAATAAGTTGTTGGTGCATCTGGGTCTTTTCGATTCTCACAGGAATTGAAAAAAATGTTTTTGTGCTTCATGGAAGAATTTCATGAGAACTGGTATGGGTAGGGTTCTGAAAATACCTGTATATAGTATTTTAGGGAGTATAATAAACATTTTTAGCAATGTGATTCGACCTAGTTTGGAGATTCCGTAGGTCTGGAGTGTTTGGATTGCTTTAGGAAGAGTTTGGAGAAAAGTTTTGTAGTTAAAATCGTACAATTGTGAGGGGTGAAGCTGTTAGATTAATGCCAAGGTAGGGAATTGATTGGTCATTCTATATAAATGGAAATTTTTTTTAGATAAATTTCTGGGTGTTCTTGTGTGTGTATAGGTTTAGTATTTGGAATATATTTGTGTTGAGTTTGTAATATGAAACATTAGTGTAGGAAGTCCGTATTTCCATAACTCTTGTTAGAGATCGGGTAGGTTTGGTGATCATTAAGATTACAGATGAGCGAAGTATTCAAAAATTCGATTCGACTGATTCGGCGAATTCGTGGAAAAATTTCGATTCGAGTCGAATATATTCGCTGCGAATTTAACTTATAAAAGGGTGTTTCTAGGCTTCAGAGAGCCTTTATATTAGTGCAGAACACTGTACCTTTAATTTAAATGCCCTTGGAGTCTGCTGGGGAAGAGAAATAATACAGACAGTCAGTATGACATGCAGATGAGTGCCGTCGATCTTAGAATCACCGCACACTTCACTCATTTGGGCAGTCACGGGGGCCAAAACCAGAGTGTGGAGCCACAGTGTGGCGGTGGAGGCAGCAGCAATGGGAGGCCATACAGCACCCTATGACAAAAATGGAAACCACCAGCAGTGTGAGGAGACCTGAAAGTGGCACATGGCAGAGTGTGGCGATGGAGACAGCAGCAATGGGAGGCCGTACAGGGACCATGACACACTCTGGACTGGCAGCAGCATGAGGAGGTGGTACAGGGGCCCATGACAGATTACGGGCCTGGCAGCAGCATGAGGAGTCGGTACGAGGGCCCATGGCAGATTACGGTCCTGGCAGCAGCAATGGGAGGCCGTACAGGGACCCATGACAGACTCTGGACCTGGCAGCAGCATGAGGAGTCGGTACGGGGGCCCATGACACACTCTGGACCTGGCAGCAGCATGAGGAGGCGGTACAGGGGCGCATGACAGATTACGAGCCTGGCAGCAGCAACTTGGACAGGAGGACGTTCAGCTTCTGCACCGTCGGGTGCTTGCTCGCAAACTGTTGTCTCTTGGAAACGGATTCCAAGAAAGACTGCTGACGGAATCCGTGAAGAGGAGTAGCAGGAGAAGGAGCATCTGAACGAGCGGAATATGCCAACAAGCGACAACAGGGGCCCATGACAGATTACGGGCCTGGCAGCAGCATGAGGAGTCGGTACGGGGGCCCATGGCAGATTAGGGGCCTGGCAGCAGCTATGGGAGGCCCGTAATCTGCCAGCACCCTATGACAAAAAATGGAACACCACCAGCAGTGTGAGGAGACCTGAAAGTGGCACATGGCAGAGTGTGGCGATGGAGACAGCAGCAATGGGAGGCCGTACAGGGACCCATGAGAGACTCTGGACCTGGCAGCAGCATGAGGAGGCGGTATAGGGGCCCATGGCAGATTAGGGGCCTGGCAGCAGCTATGGGAGGCCCGTAATCTGCCAGCACCCTATGACAAAAAATGGAACACACCAGCAGTGTGAGGAGACCTGAAAGTGGCACATGGCAGAGTGTGGCGATGGAGACAGCAGCAATGGGAGGCCGTACAGGGACCCATGAGAGACTCTGGACTTGGCAGCAGCATGAGGAGGCGGTATAGGGGCCCATGGCAGATTAGGGGCCTGGCAGCAGCTATGGGAGGCCCGTAATCTGCCAGCACCCTATGACAAAAAATGGAAACACACCAGCAGTGTGAGGAGACCTGAAAGTGGCACATGTTTGGGGCATGATTCATGGCGGATTTAGTCAGTTGTGTCAGGAACTGGTGGTTTGAAATCCAGACTAATCCACGCCTGATTCATTTTCACAAACGTGAGTCTCTCCACACTTTGGGTGGACAGTCGTGTCCTCCGCGGAGTTTACAATACCCCCCTGCCGCACTAAACACGTGCTCCGATGCCACGCTACTGGCCGGGCATGACAGCCTTTCAAGGGCAAATTCAGCTAGTTGGGGCCAAAGGTCAAGTTTCGTTGCCCAGTAGTCAAGGGGATTGTCTACCTCGGTTGGCAGGGTGCTGTCCAAGTAGGCCTAAGCCTGTTGTTTGAGGTCCTGCTCCAGGTCCACCTGATGCTGCTGCTGCTGCTGCGGCTGGTTAGTAGTTTCCTCACTGCGCTGGTGAAGAAAGCTACTCATCATCGACTGCAGACTGAGGCAGCCGCTGCTGGTGGAGCTGCCACTGCTCCTACCACCACCCCACCCCTCCCCTGCTGCCATGGCAGCGGAACGCGAGCGCACAGGGCCCACAGTGTCTGAGGATGGACGTTGGCGCAGAAAGGCAGAGACCATCTGACTACATAGGTGGTTTTTATAGTACGTTATTTTGGCCTCCCTCTCAGCAGGTGTGAAAAAGGCCACCATTTTTGAACGGTAGCGAGGGTCCAACAAGGTGGACAGCCAAAAGTCATCCCTCTGTCTGATGGTTATTATTCGGCTGTCGGTACGCAAGCAAGCGAGCATGCTATGGGCCATTTGTGCCAAGGAATGCGAGGGACTCCCTGCCTCCATCTCCACAGCATACTGCCACGGTGCGTCTGGGTCCTCTGTCTCCTCCTCCTCCTCCTCTACCAGATGCTCCTGCTCCTCCACTCCTGTCCGCTGAGTGGAAAAACCACCCATTTCACTCAATAATTCCTGAGCACACCAATGTCCTCCTCTACCTCCTCCTCTTCTCTTCCTGTCCTGCCCCAACAGGGGTCATGTGTGCGTTGAGATCTGTGCGCCACGTCTACCGCACCCTGACCAGCCATTGTTAACAGCATTTGTTCCAGGACGTGCAACAGAGGGAATGACGTCGTTCATCCCATAGTCCTGCCGACTCACGAATAGCGTGGCCTCCTCAAAGGGCCTGAGCAAGCGGCAGGGGTCACGCATGAGCTGCCAATGGCTGACATCGAAGTTACACAGGGGAGTACCTTTATCCGCTTGTAACATCATGAAATCGGTGATGGCCTTTCGCTGTTCGTAAAGGCGGTCTACCATGTGTAGGGTTGAATTCCACCTTGTTGCAACGTCGCAGATCAGGCGATTGCTGTGGAATTCCGTAGGAGGCCGTCTGCCGCTGCATTTCAAGCAGGGTTTGTGCTTTGCGGTGTAGGAATGGCTGAAATGCATGCAAGGTTTACGTGACATTTAAGGATGTCTTGCAGTGATGGGATGGTGGATTTTAGGAACCGCTTGACAACCAGAATTGAACACGTGAGCCATGCATGGCGCATGGCACAACCTTCCTTGACGCAGAGCAGACACCATGTTTCTTTCCGTTGTCGGTCAACATGGTTCCGATTTTCAGTTTGCGCGGAGACAGCCATCTGTCGATTTCTCTGTTCATTACACTGAGAAGTTCCTCCCTGTGTGACTACGTTCGCCTGACCTGGAAGCAGCATGAGGAGGCGGGTACAGGGGCCCATGGCAGATTAGGGGCCTGGCAGCAGCAGCCCGTAATCTGCCAGCACCCTATGTCAAAAAATGGAACACACCAGCAGTGTGTGAGGAGACCTGAAAGTGGCACATGGCAGAGTGTGGCGATGGAGACAGCAGCAATGGGGAGGCCGTACAGGGACCCATGAGAGAACTCTGGACCTGGCAGCAGCATGAGGAGGCGGTATATAGGGGCCCATGGCAGATTAGGGGCCTGGCAGCAGCTATGGGAGGCCCGTAATCTGCCAGCACCCTATGTCAAAAAATTTAACACACCAGCAGTGTGAGGAGACCTGAAAGTGGCACATGGCAGAGTGTGGGCGATGGAGACAGCAGCAATGGGAGGCCGTACAGGGACCATGAGAGACTCTGGACCTGGCAGCAGCAGCATGAGGAGGCGGGTATAGGGGCCCATGGCAGATTAGGGGCCTGGGCAGCAGCTATGGGAGGCCCGTAATCTGCCAGCACCCTATGTCAAAAAAATGGAACACACAGCAGCAGTGTGAGGAGGGACCTGAAAGTGGCACATGGCAGAGTGTGGCGATGGAGACAGCAGCAATGGGAGGCGTACAGGGACCCATGAGACTCTGGACCTGGCAGCAGCATGAGGAGGCGGTATAGGGGCCCATGGCAGATTAGGGGCCTGGCAGCAGCTATGGGAGGCCCGTAATCTGCCAGCACCCTATGACAAAAAATGGAACACACACAGCAGTGTGTGAGGAGACCTGAAAGTGGCACATGGCAGAGTGTGGCGATGGAGACAGCAGCAATGGGAGGACGTACAGGGACCATGAGACATCTTGGACCTTGGCAGCAGCATGAGGAGGCGGTTATAGGGGCCCATGGCAGATTAGGGGCCTGGCAGCAGCTATGGGAGGCCCGTAATCTGCCAGCACCCTATGTCAAAAAATTGAACACACCAGCAGTGTGTGAGGAGAGACCTGAAAGTGGCACATGGCAGAGTGTGGCGATGGAGACAGCAGCAATGGGAGGGCCGTACAGGGACCCATGAGAGACTCTGGACTTGGCAGCAGCATGAGGAGGCGGTATAGGGGCCCATGGCAGATTAGGGGCCTGGCAGCAGCTATGGGAGGCCCGTAATCTGCCAGCACCCTATGACAAAAAATTGAACACACCAGCAGTGTGAGGAGACCTGAAAGTGGCACATGGCATGAGACACTGTGGACCTGGCAGCAGCATGAGGAGGCGGTACAGGGGCCCATGGCAGAGATTAGGGGCCTGGCAGCAGCTATGGGAGGCCCGTAATCTGCCAGCACCCTATGACAAAAATGGAACACACCAGCAGTGTGATGAGACCCTGAAAGTGGCACATGGCAGAGTGTGGCGATGGAGACAAACCACCGACTGTTTTGCCTCGCTGCCAAGAGGCTGCCACCCTCTTCAGCCTGATGATGCGGAAGCAATAGCCTGATGACGACGAGGCTGCCAAGTGCGATCAGCCTCATCATCATCAATTAGGGTCTCCGCACACTACTAGCCCCCTCGGCTGCGTGTGGGTCAGGAGACAGACCTGTCTCTAGGACGGCTACCGAGCTGGACTCTCCTCGCCTGTTGGCTACTTCTTCTGTCCCCTGGCTGCTGAAGAGGCGGATGTCTCCCCCGTTCCTGACGCCCTCTGTTAGCTCTTCCTCACTGTACTGTGTTGACACCGGGAGCACTGGCCTCTGGCATGCGAATAGTGCTGCCTCGACCCCTTCTTGCTGCCACGTCTGCTCGCTCCTAAAAAATTGCCTCCTCTGCCACTCCTCTGCATGTTGTCTGAAGTACTCTTTAATTCAACGATTCTGTGTCCCTGAGTAACACCCATTGTCCCTGAGTAACAATTCTGTGCTCCCCAGTAACAATTCTGGTCCATCAGTACAATTCTGTGTCCCTGGCAAGTAACAATTCTGGGTCCCTCAGTAACAATTCTGTCCCTCAGTAACAATTCTGTGTCCCTGAGTAACAATTCTGTGTCCCTCAGTAACAATTCTGATGTCCCTGAGTAACAATTCTGTGTCCTGAGTAAGAATTCTGTGTCTGTCTGAGTAACAATTCTGTCCTGAGTAAGTCCCCTAAGTAACGGTTCTGTGGCCTCAGTAACATTCTCTGTGGCCCTCAGTAACAATTCTGTGTCCCCTCAGTAACAATTCTGTGTCCCTGAGTAACAATTCTGTGTCCTGAGTAACAATTCTGTGTCTGCAGGTCCTGAGTAACAATTCTGTGTCTGTCCCTGAGTAACAATTCTGTGATTCCCTGAGTAACGTTTCTGTGGCCCTAAGTAACAGTTCTGTGGCCCCTCAGTAACATTTCTGTGTCCCTCAGTAACAATTCTGTGTCCCTCAGTAACAATTCTGTGTCTGTCCCTCAGTAAACAATTCTGTGTCCTCAGTAACAATTCTGTGTCCCCTGAGTAACAATTCTGTGTGGCCCCTCGAGTAACAGTTTCTGTGGCCCTCAGTAACAATTTGTTCTGTGTCCCGAGTAACAATTCTGTGTCCCTGAGTAACAATTCTGTGTCTGTCCTGAGTAACAATTCTGTGTCTGTCCATTCTGAGTAACAACTGTCTGTGTCCCTCAGTAACAATTCTGTGTCTCTAAGTAACGTTTTCTGGCCCTAAGTAACAATTCTGTGTCCCTAAGTAACGTTTTCTGTGGCGTACATCATTTAAGTAAAACGTTTCTGTGCCCTGAGTAACACGTTTCTGTGTCCCTGTAACACGTTTCTGTGGCCCTGAGTAAACATTCTGTGTCCCTGAGTAACAATTCTGTGCCTGTGCCCTAAGTAAACGATTCTGTGGCCCTGAGTAACAATTCTGTGTTGGTCCCTAAGTAACAATTCTTGTGTCCCTCAGTAACAATTCTGTGTCCTCTGAGTAACAATTCTGTGTCCCTAAGTAACAATTCTGTGTCCCTGAGTAACAATTCTGTGTCCCTCAGTAACAAGTTCTGTGTCCCTCAGTAACAATTCTGTGTCTGTCCCTGAGTAAACAATTCTGTGTCTGTCCCTGGAGTAACAATTCTGTGGCCCTAAGTAACGTTTCTGGAGTCCCTAGTAACGATTTCTGTGGCCCTAAGTAACGATTTCTGTGGCCCTAAGTAACGGTTCTGTGTCTGCCCTCAGTAACAATTCTGTCTGTCCCTCAGTAACAATTCTGTGTCTGTCCCTAATAGTAAAAATTCTGTGGCCTCTGAGTAACAATTCTGTGGCCCTAAGTTGTTCTGTGGCCCTCAGTAACAATTTGTGCCCTCAGTAACAATTCTGTGTTGTCCCTAAGTAACAATTCTGTGGCCTAAGTAACGTTTCTGTGGCCCTAAAGTAACAAATTCTGAGGCCCTGTAACAATTCTGTAGGCTCAAGTAACAATTCTGTGTGTCCTAAGTAACGTTCTGTGGTCCCAAGTAAGTTTCTGTGGCCCTAAGTAAGGTTCTGTGGCCCTAAGTGTGGCCCTAAGTCGGTTCTGTGGCCCTCAGTAACAATTCTGTGTCCCTCAGTAACAATTCTGTGTCTGCCCTCCAGTGGCCCTAACGTTTCTGTGGCCCTAAGTAACAATTCTTGTCTAAGTAACGATTCTGTGTTAAAGTAAACAATTCTGTGGCCCTAAGTAACGTTTCTGTGGCCTCAGTAACAATTCTGTGTCTGTGGGAGTAACAATTCTGTGGCAGCCTAAGTTACGTTTCTGTGGCCCTAAGTAAGTTTCTGTGGCCCTCAGTAACAATTCTGTGTCCCTCAGTAACAATTCTGTGTCTGTCCCTAAGTAACAATTCTGTGGTTAAGTAACAATTCGTTTCTGTGGCCCTAAGTAACGATTCTGTGGCCCTCAAGTAACGTTTCTGTGGCCCTAAGTAAAACTAGGTTTGTATTCTGTGGTACCCTAAGTAACAATTTCTGTGGCCCTAAGTAACGTTTCTGTGGCTAAGTAACCGTTCTGTGGCCTCAGTAACAATTCTGGTGTCCCTCAGTAACCAATTCTGTGTCTGTCCTAAGTAACAATTCTGTGGCACTCTGTAACGTTCTGTGTGGACTAAGTTAAAGTTCTGTGGCCCTAAGTAAGTTTCTGTGGCCCTAAGTAACGTATTTCTGTGGCCCTCAGTAACAATTCTGTGTCCCTTGGAGTAACAATTCTGTTGTCTGTGGTGGCCTCAGTAACAATTCTGTGGCCCTAAGTAAGTTTCTGTCAAGTAACGATTCTGTGGCCCTAAGTAACAATTTTCTGTGGCCCTAAGTAACGTTCTATTGTGCCTGCTCAGTAACAATTTCTTGTGTCCCTGAGTAACACATTTCTGTGTCTGTCCCTAAGTAACAATTCTGGGTGTGTCCCTAAGTAGAACGTTTCTGTGGCCCTAAGTAACAATTCGCTGGCCCTCAGTACCATAATCTGTGTCCTGTCCCTAAGTAACAATTCAGTGTGGCCCTAAGTAAGTAACTGTGATTTCTGTGGCCCCCTAAGTAACGGTTTTCTGGCACTCCAGTAAAGTTTCTGTAACAATATCGTTCTGTGTCCTGTCCCTAAGTAACAATTCTGTGGCCCTAAGTAAGTTCTGTGGGCTAAGTTTTGTGGCCCTAAGTAACGTTTCTGTGGCCTACCATTTAAGTAAGATAACGTTTCTGTCTGTCCCTAAGTAACAATTTGTCTGTGGCCCTAGAGTAAGTATCTGTGGCCCTAAACAATTATCTGTGGCCCTCAGTACACAATTCTGTGTCGGGTCCCTCAAGTAACAATTCTGTGTCGTCCCTAAGTAACAATTCTGTCTGGCTACCAAGTAAAACGTTTCTGTGGCCCTAAGTAACGATTCTGTGGCCCTAAGTAACAGCTTCTAATGGTAAGTAACGTTAGGCTGTAACGTTTCAGTAACCAAATACTGGTCCTCAAGTAACAATTCTAGTGGCCCTCAGTAACATGATTCATGTGGCCCTATGAGTAACAATTCTGTGGTCTAAGGCACTGGTTCTGTAACAAATTCAATGTGTCGTCCCTCAAGTAACAAATTCTGTGGGCCACTAATGTAACGTTCTTGTGGCCCTAAGTAATTGTTCTGTGGCCTAAGTAATGTTTTTCTGTGGCCCATCAGTAACAATTCTGTGTCCCTCACGATAAATTCATTCGGTGTCCCTAAGTAACATTCTGTGGCCTAAGTAAGTTTCTGTGGTAAACAGATTCTGTGGCTAAAGTAAC